ATCCCTATCTCTGCCATACTTCTAGGAAGAATAAATTCTCTATATTCTTGTGTCGGTTCTGGCTGGAGGATTCCACAATTCTTCCTTACATGAGTCAGGCTGAGTGAAGACTTGGGATCCTATTTGTAGTGGGAAATGACAGTCTCTGCTATGGCTCTTTTTCTTCCCTTTTCCCCGTGTTTTACAGCCATCTGTTCATGACCCAGCACAAGCTGTCACTCCTCCAGACATTTCCAAACGCAGCTTTATTGGAGTCCAGCTCTTCCCAAAACTCTCCTTTGTACTGATGAACCATCTTTACTCCATACAGAAAAATCTCCCAAAACTAAATTAAATCTTCTATCCTTGACCAATGATTGACTAAAAAGTGCTGTCTATCTGGTGAAATCTCACCTCTGTGCACTGGGTGAATTTTTTTCAATCCCAAGTATTTCTCTAATCTTATTTTTTCCAGCCTACACCTTCACTGCAGGAATTTAATTCAGGAAGAGCAGGTACATTGGGAAGTTGCAAGCAGAGGGTTCTCTCCAAGACATTCAGGGAGATAGAATTCTAGCCTGTTGCTTCTTAGGAAGTCTTTACAGTTGGCCCACCAACTACCCAAGCTCCCTCTGAATTACTTGTAGTTATGATCCATCAGCACCAGCCCAGCAAAGGACTTTTGAGACACCTGTATCATTCTGCCACTCATCCTTCTTAACCTAAAGGCTTGGGCAGACTTCCTCCTCCATTCTCCTCCTGGTCATGCGTAGACTAAATAAATAAGCAGGCTTCCTTTTTCCTGAAAATGGCAAAGGTCGTTAATAGAAGAAGGTATAAGCAAACTCGAAATGTTAAGATTACCTGGAGGATAACTGAGTGCCATCCCATGTCTCGTGTGCAATTTGAACATGTTTTCTCTAAAAGACACTCAGTGTAGTTGCATTTCTTCCACACACTGTCCCTGGGTCTTTCTTGGGTTCTCCTTCCACCCCTTCTTGGCCTTGCCAATGTCAGTTGATAAGGCATCTAGTTTTCAGGTTTGGACTGTCCCTAGTTCTCAGCTCAGCGTTCACAAGTTCCAAATAATTAAACCACCTAAAGGGGGAAAAGTGTATCACAGACATACACACACACATTCATGCACACATATACATATGTACTTTGTAAAAATAGGGCTGTTATTCAACTTTTTTCTAGAAAATTCAATATGCATATCTCTTTGGTAGGAAAAGAAGCATTCCTCTTTTGTGTTGATGATTATTTGTATATTTTATATAGGGTTTTAATAATTACTTGTTTCACTATTTTTAATCGATAAGTTCGTTTTTTTCTTTTTCTTTTTCTTTTTTTGTCCGCACTAAGGTACTCTGAGGAAGAACAGAAAAGCACATTTTCTAGTGAAATATTGTACTTTGTAAGCTAGCTGTCTGTCTTTTGTAATGTTTATAGTGTACAAAGTGGCTGAGCAGACTAACAAAGGTTAACACACAAATTCATTTTGGTGTTTCCACCACACCTGCTGGGAGCATGTTGAAGAGGAGGAGGGGCGCATGGCAGTAACTAGTGTAAGGGGAGGAAGGTCACTGCTTCCTCCCTGACTCAGTGGCAGGGGTGCTTCCCACTTTCCTGGATCCTCACTCAGGAGTCTCGTTAGTGCATTCGGACCATTGTCCTACACATTAAGGAAAGAGGCAATATCATGGGGCTTTGCATGAGTAATTCTTTATTCACCTTTGCATGACAATTTTTACCCTTCCCAGTCCTATTCTATCACATGTTTTTTCAATTTTTTTATTTCCTTGGGATTTTCCACAGGTACTTTAGAGCTATTACTACAATTGCCTAACCTGTCCATGGTAAGCAGCCAGATAGAGCTTTATGGAAAAGAAACTGTTAGAAAGCTCCTGGGCCCACTGTCTGAAGTCAGTGCACCGTGTGTGGCAGTCCTCGGATCTGGGGTCTGTCTGGACATCTTCCTTTCCCTTGCATTGACCTGACCTTAATGATAAGACGGTATGAGACTCTCTAGTCCTAACAACGCACAGACCTAGGGACCTAACTCTATCTAACACTTTCTGGGAATACTTCTTTCCTGAATCCTCCCTGGTGACACAGGGAAAGATTTTATCAACCAGCAGGACGAAGGTAGAGAAATAGTCTTAGGCCAGAACCAAAGGTGAAAGTCATTGTGTTAGTGGTTTAAGCCTGGTCTTATTTACATTAGTGTCAGAGGCCTCCGTGCATAAATGCCAGTGGTAGACTCAGAGAACATGAACAAAGCCCTGGGTGTGGCCTTGCCCTGCACACTGAGAGGCTTCCACTTTCAGTGCATCTTGAAGAGAAAATATTAATGGGCATCTGCCTGGTGATACTTTCGCATTAGAGTCAACCTCTATCTCAATCTCTCCATGAATACCTAAATAGTCTCTTCTCTTTGAATGACAGTATCAAACTGTGTAACCTTGTCCTGCCTTAATACTCTTGCAAAAAATACAAAACCCTGCTTAAAGCAATGTAGTTATATTGCAAATGAGACTTTGTATTTAGGGAGGACAAAGACCAAGAATTTTCTCCTTCTGAATCTTGCACTTGACAGGCCTCCTGTGATGTCTTGAGCTGATACTCCCTTTAGTCTGAGATAGGAAACCTCAGAGAACATGAATATATATTAAATGAATTTCCATTTTTCAATAAAATTTATTTATAAAATTACATTTGGTTCATGCGCTATAGTTTGCCAGTCCCTAAGATAGAAGATTATAGTGTCCATTGAGATAGGAAACTGGTCTTCCTAAGGTGTGTGCAGGCTCTCTTTTTTGAGGACTAAGAAAGAGCAAGGAGGTTACTTTAAATTAGTATATGATAAAATACAAAATGACCTCCTTCCAAAAAATATACATATGTCACACTCTTTATTATGGTAAAAGCACAAAAGAGGTCATCTCCTTTGTGGATCTTTTGGAATCTTCTTTTTCCTTTCAATCTTCTTATTTTTGTTCCTAAAATAAAATCTCCAGTGATGTTGCCTCATTCCACGTCAATTTTGTAGACCATGTACCATGTCTTAATACACCGTATGGGGAAAAATAAACGTTAGCCTTAGATTCCTTTGTTTTCTATGGTTATTGTTGTACAGAAGAAAGACTTAAACTGTAAATAATGTATATTTAATAAAGAGAAAATTTTGTATGATTTTGTGTGGAAGACAAATGTGCCTTGCTGTGTTTTCTTGAGTTAATGAAGAGTCAAACAGTGAATCCCTTAGCTCCCATTCTCATTCCTTAGACCATTAGCTCCCAGACAATGTGACCAATGGGGTTGCTGAAGAAACACAAAACTCCCACTTCCTGGGTTTATTGATTTCACAATGGCTAAAAGTGCTGTCCTGGGCGCTCTCATCACTCAGCTGAGTTATCCTGGAATGCACACCTGGCTCAAATGTGTACAAGGGCAAGCCCAGTGATTTGCTCCAAAGGCAACTGCAGTGTTCTGGAGCTATCCTGGTTTCAGCTGCCCACACAAAACCTTAGGCTCCCCTACACCCTCACAAGCACCCACTCACAGAAGACACACATTTCTTATCTTTCCTTGCCCACATCTTTTTCTTCCAGAAGACTTTAACCTCATTACATTCTGTGTTTGAAAGACTAAATATAACTGCTGTGCAAAAGAACCCACTTCATGCAGTGTTTATTAAGACTTCTATGTATGGGGTAGTCAAGAACACACAGAAATTAAGAACTAACATAATTTTAAATAGGAAAGTGATATGTACTATCAGATTTGCTCTTTAAAAAATCATCTAACTTCCCAATGGAGAATGGAATATAGGGGAGCAGGAAGGGATGAGGGCTAAGGGCCATCTCAAAAGCCAGAGGGAACATGGTGGCAGCTTGGACTAAGTCTGGAATAGCAAAGATGGTAACAGTAGCCTGGGTCAGACAGAACTAACTGACAGGGCTTGCTGGTGTTTGGAGGGAGAGTGGGAAGATGATCAAGGAAGATCGGATTTGGGTCGTATGCTATTGAATAGATGGAGTTAGAGTTTCTATTTTATTTTGTTTGGGGGTTATGGTGACTGTGAATTGAGAAGGGTAGATATAGCTAATGAGTTTGGTTTGAGATTTTATTAAGTCTGAGAGTTCAACAAAGCATCCAATGTAGTTAGCTGTGAAGTCAGTGGCTGGGGGTAAGTCTGCAGTTCAGCACTGAGGGTTGTTCTGAAGAAACACTTGGGAGACAGATGTATATGTGCATGCACATAAATGTCCACATCCTTATGTATGGATAGGTGTGTGTATAAGAGAGAGAGACACACACAGAGACAGTCTGAGATCATCTAGGGCACGAGTGTGCACGGAAACACAGAGCTGGAAACAATGGACTGTTACAAGAGGAGAAACCAAACAGGGCTATTGGAAATGTCCACTGAGGAATGGGAAAAACCAGGTGAGTGAGTTGGAGCCTTGACTAGAAAGTGCTTCATCGGGAGGAAGTACAGAGTCATTAAATGCCACTGAGGAATGAAGTGAGATAAATGCCTTCAGCATTAGTGAGATTAAGACACTAATGATCCCCTTTAGGGCCACTCAGTGAAGATAGAGGTTGAAAATATAATTTTGAGTGATCTCACAGAATGGAGAAGGAGCAACAGAGGCAGCCCCATGGGAGAGGTGTTTGAATGTTGGAGCCAAGCCAACTAGGGCAGAAATCCCCAAAATGCCCGTTCCCTGATTCTGTGACTTGAAATAAGTCAATCAAGATAACACTTAGATTTTGCAGATAAAAACAAAGAAACAAAAACATTAAAACAATTTCACAGATCTTGAGGATTAAAGGAAATAATTCATGGAGAGTGCTCATTGTGAACCCCCACCCCACAAAACGATGTGCTGCTTCACCATGTTCTTTTTTTTTTTTTTTTTTTTT